CAGCATAGGGTCGCAGATTATCAACAAGACTTTCAGAAAAGTCAAGGAAGATTGCAACTCCTAAATTGCACAGATTACATACTTCTTAGGCATGTATGAAGCTCATCAATCCTTACAAGTATGGAATGGTACCTTCATCTCTGACATGCACTCTAGTCTTCGGAGGATCACAATAGCTTCCGATCCGCAGAGTCTAGTGTTTCCCTTGTCGGTGTGTCCCATGATCATCTCTCCTAAGTACTCCTAACCAACCTATTGGGCTCTTTTTAACTAGGCTTTCTTTATACAGAGTGGGCCGTTTTTAAAAACTATGATGGGCCACTTTAATTGCTTAACCTTTCTTAAAGGTTAAAATCAATAGAAGAAACAAAAAGAATAACTAAAAAACATGTCTGTTATAAAAACAGAAAACTTAGGGTCTAAATGGTAACTGATTAATGTGTAGAATTTGAAGAATATATAGAATTTGTATAATTTTGTTACCAGTTGATGATTGAAGAATTTGAAGGAAAAACCAAAAGTTGAAGAATTAGGAGAATTGGTAGAGTGTGAAGAAAGTTGAAGAATTTTGTTCAATAATGAGTAACCGACAAAAATCAATGAATTTGTGAAGAAAAAAAACAAAAAGTTGCAGAATATTTTGTTTAGACAACTGRGCTAGTTAACATTCACGTGAATAAAGAAGACAGTTTTCATAATTGAAAGAAAGCGCATCGAGATGTTCACACGGCTATGTGAGATATTACGTACAGAGTATGGAATGAAATGCACAAAAAAACATATATGTAGAAGAAACTGTGGCGATGTTTCTTGTGATATGTGGTCATAACATGACCCAACATTCATCAGGGCTTTTGTTTGGACGGGCACAAGAGACAGTTGGACGTAAATTCAAAGAGTGCCTAAAAGCATGCACGAAACTGTCTGGTAGATTGCTTAGGAAGCAGACTCCCGAACAACTCCGGCAGGTACCCCGAGGTTTACGAGATAATCATAATTATTGGCCTTATTTTAATGGTTTCATTGGTGCAATGGATGATACTCATTGTACAGTAATGGTAGCTGGTGCGGATGCGATCCGCTTTTATAACAGACATTCAGAGACAAGCATTAATGTTTTGGCAATATGCAACTTGGATATGTTATTCAGAGACAAGCATTAATGTTTTGGCATTAATGTTGGATGTCCTGGATCTGTACATGATGCAAGAGTTTTGTCATATGCAATGGAGCGTGACCCAACTTTTCCAACTCCTCCGTCCTCG